AAGCCACCTGCATTCTTCGTCTGCCGCTGCTCTGCTCACCTTCGATAAGACGGGCCAAGCTCAATCAGGATAATATCCATGACCCGTTTTTATTGACCAGTGATGGCTCTAATGCAACGTGCTCATATTCTATCCAACTCTTCCCCGTAGACAGACTGCGCTGTCCCGGTTCCACAAGAATCACATCCAAATAAACGCAGTCTTGCCTCTCCATCGGTTCTTCCACCGAAAACTTGTCTAAAAATAATTGAAGACATATCAAGACCAACAAGTTCTACTGAAAGATGAGATGTAATTCACATATTAAACCCGACACAAACAAACCCGCAGGGCGCGGTGCTCACACCTCCTCATCCCAGCACTCTGGGCAGCCACAGGCAGAGGATCGCCTCGAGGCTCCAAGGAGTTCGAAACCAGCCTGAGCAACCGTAGCGAGACCCCGTCTCTATAACATAGGAAATATTGCAACGAAAAACTATATAAAAATTACGGGAGTTGTGGCGCATCACCTGTAGTGCCAGCCATTCTCGTAGGGCCTGATCAGGAGGATCTCGCTTGAGCCAGGAGTTGGGGGAGTTGCAGTGACCGAACGAGCCTGACGCTAACGGCACCCACTCTACGCTGGGTGCAAAGGAGACCTCTATCAAAACAAAAAAAAAAAAGACAAAGTCAGAGATATCACCGTCCAAACTTAGACTTAAGGAAATGGCGTTCTACTTAAGTACCTAATTTTTTTTTTTGAGACAGAGTCTCGCTTTGTTGCAGCTGAGTGAGTGCCCGTGCGCACTCGCTCACAGCAACTCCACTCCTGGGCTCAAGCGAATCCTCCTGCCTCAGCCTCCTCCGCCGAGTAGCTGGACTACAGCAGCGCCACCCTGATGCCAGCTCATTTTTCTATAGTATACAGTAGCTGGCCCAATCGAATTTCTTTATTATAGTAGACGATGGGTCTTGCTCCTTGCTCACTGGTCTTCAGACTGACCTCGAGCGGATCCTCGTGCTCGAGCCCCAGAGTTGCTGGAATGACAGGCGTGAGCCACGGCGCCCGGCCCGACCTTGAACTTTTTAAACAGGGGGGCCAGTTCACTGTCCCTCAGACCGTCGGAGGGCCGGACTATTCATTTAAAAAAAAAAACTATGAACCAATTCCTACGCACATGGCACATGCCTTATTTTGCAGTAAAAAAGCAAACGGGCAAAAACGCCAGCACGTGGCCCACGGGCCGCAGTTTGAGGACGCCTGGCCCTAAGGTATTTCGGGGACCGTGGGCTCCAGGGCCTGTTCTTCTGAAGCCCCTGCTGCTTGGGCGGCAGCCTCGCTGTCACCTGGGAGCCGGCTGCTGTGCAGAGTCTCAGAGCCCGGCCCACGCTTACCCGACCCCAGCCTGCGTGCCAGCACAGCCCCAGGTGGCTGACACGCGCCTCGAGTGCGAGAATCGCCGCCACGGGACTCTGCTTGGACTTGACGCTCTCTCCAAAGTTACAGGTGTATTTACGGGGAGTTCCAGTTCTGTTAGGATCCCCCCCGCTCCCCTCCCTGTAGCTCCTGAGAACCCAGTTGAGACCGGTGTGACCCACCCGCAGAATTCTTGAGGACAGGCCAGCCCGAGCGTGAACTGGGTTTCTTTGAACAGCCGTGAGCCAAAGGCCAGAAAAGGAGGCAGAATAAGTCCCAAATAGAATTTTTTTTTTTTTTTTTTTTTTTTTTTTTTTGAGACAGAGTCTCAACTCTGTCGCCCGGGCTAGAGTGAGTGCCGTGGCGTCAGCCTCGCTCACAGCAGCAGCCTCCAACTCCTGGGCTCCAGCGATCCTCCTGCCTCAGCCTCCTCCTGAGTAGCTGGGACTACAGGCATGCACCAGCATGCCCGGCTAATATATTTTTTTAAATTTCTTTTTCTTTTATTTTTTTCTTTCTTTTAAATTTATTTTTTCTTATTTTCCACAAAGTTCCTGCAGCTTTAAGTAATTTTATATTATATATATTTTTAGTTGGCCAATTTATTTCTTCTATTTCATACGTAGAGACGGGTGCCTCGCTCCCTTGCTCAGCGCTGGTCTCCTAACTCCTGACCTCGAGCGAATCCTCCCGCCTCCGCCTCCCAGAGTGCTGCTGTATGTATAGGTGAGCCACCGCCCCGCCAGTGGCTTCATTTTAACATACCGTATTTTCTAATTGGCTCTTTAGTTATTGTTTCATTCATGCCCAACCCATAAACCAGAGTCTTGTGTTTATTTAATGTACAGTGCCAGTTGCACTAGGCCTTCAGATATTGTTGGATGGACGAATTAAACTGGTTTTCATCTGTCTTGTGTGTGTGTTATGCGTGTTTGAATGATTGCAATAATGCAAAGTATATCAGTGAACGCCAATATGAAAACAGTAACCTATGCATTGAGAAATAGGATTTTTACCTATTTTAATGGATGAACGACATTTGCAATACTTTTTCGTCCTATGTGTTTGGAAAGTCTTTCCAAAAGCTCTCTGTAGTAAGCTTTTGAGTGTCAGGTCCAGTGCTGTTACATGGTGAAAAAATAAGCTAGTTTTCCGTGACCAGAACTTAAGTTATTGTAGATTTTTAGGTAATTGTATGGAGTGGAACCTGGCACGAGTCGTGTTTAGTCTTGCCTTTTCGACAACAAAATATTTATGAACCCATTATGACAACCCTAAAGCTCGTCCTAGCGGGACTCAACTGAATATTTTTCGAAAAGGGCGCTGACTTAATTTCGCTGTTTATTTATGCTGCATGCCACTTTTTTTTTTTGTTGAAGACCATTTTATTTTTATTTTTTATTTTGTTCCGTCTTATTTTTGCAGACAGGCTGGAGGAGGAGACAGCCCCCTCAGATAAGAGCGTAGACCCACTCTCTGCTCCACGCCACCGCCTCCGGAAGACCCTTTCGGTTCTGTTCCTTTCATTTCCCACCCAGGCAAGTTACACATGTGATGTCATCGCCGTCATTAAAAAAAATATACGCGAGAATAACAACAAAAGTCTTGTTTTAGTGTAGAGTGACAATAAGAAGCAGCGTTTTACA